AACCATTATATGCCTTAAGGTATGTTCTTTTTCTAAAATTCCCTAGGCGGGGACTTTTGACGCGGGCGCGACATAACCAAATCTTTTTACAGTTTCAGGATCCCTATGAGTTGGCAAACAACAGTTCGTTCGAATAATTTGTTAAATAAACAAATTATTCCAACCTGCCGATTAAGGCAAAATTTTTACATAGCTCAACTCTGTAGGAGCTCATGCTTCTCAAGACGCCAAAATTTTTTCTTAATTGCAACATTAACAAAAAATTTATAAGTTCCAAATAACGAATAATTTTGCGTTATTTGGCTTTGTTTCCATTGTCGGACTCTTGTTGACCAACTATCTTGTCTTATCGACCACTTTTAAATCTAAATGCACCATTAACATCTGGTGCCCCAAACACTTACAAAAAGAACCTACGATTTGCTTATATCACCTCCGTGACCCTACGCTCGTACAAAAATAAAATACAAACGCTAATTACTAAAACACAGTCTACATCACACTTTTACAGGCCTTACTTTAAAATAAAAATGCACAGATAATTAGCGCCTAAAATAACGTTTTTCTTAAACTAAATAAAACAAGGAACAAAACTAAAAATAATCTTAAGCCTAACTCCGGCTCTCCTCTCAGTCTTCTAATAGCATAACGCCTTTTAACCAAAGGTATTTTTCGTTACGCTTATCCACTTTAAACTTACAGAATACTCATAACAATAATTCCTTTAACACAGGAGTGGTTATTTATTGTTTAAACGATACTACATATATATAAAAAAAACAAAATTTAAACTAATGAATAGTCAAGGCTCGTGAAAAATTGAAATTAAGAATGAAGAGGCTAATATGAGCCATCTAAGATTAACATAGGCCAATACGAGCCATTCCGAGGTTGTTGTGCAGGAATAAGCGTGCATGTATATATATATATATACATGCCTATGTTAATCTTAGATGGCTCATATTAGCCTCTTCAAAACTTAAACTAGTATCGCTTATGTTAAACGGACGACTTATGCCCTAGTTTTCTCTTACGGGTAGGTATCTGTACTAGCAACAAACTGACTCTTATACACACAGTTAATAATAAAAAATAAAAATCTTTCTTAAGATAGGGCCTAATAAGCTCTGTTTTCTGTTTCAAGTACTTGTTCGCAACTCAACACCGTTCAGGATCTCGCTTAATACGCGTTCCGCCCAACCGGTTGCCTTCTTCCGGAGTTCCATCTTTTCATAGTTTATCTGGGCGTTCAACAACGCGTCTCTCAACGATGTCTGGCATCGCACCGCATCCTGCAACGCTTCCGTTTCCAGCTGTGGTTCTGGCTCTGGTGACAAGGTTAGGTTAGATTGTGACCGGGGTTAGGTAATGCCAATGGATGAGACTTACGATTTCTCGTCCTTTCTTAACGGTCGCCAGGTGTTTTATAGCTATCCGCTTCCTCCAAACACCAAGGGTTTCAGCAGGTGCTCGATATGGTCCTCCTTTCCTTCAAGCCGACGTGGGACTTTCCAGGATATCAGGAGAAACAACGACACAATGCACCTCACAAACACAATTTAGTTTTCTATTATGTTTATTATATACCAAATACATATAATATGAAATTCTTATTTTTCGTATGCTATACAAACTTTAGGGTATTACACTTTAACGCAAAATGAGCCGCGAAGAGCTTGTTATTTTCGCATACGCATCCGCACCTTGCAAGAGCTCTCTATCGACTGACTCTTCCGCCGCCTTTCCTGACCGCGCAGCTTCGCCTCCCCACTCTTCTCATTCTAGGAGCGCGAATAAGGGTAAGTAGGTGTATTGTGTGAATGTGTGTGTGTGTGCGGTATAGCTGGTGTGTGTTTCTTAGCTTAGTTGTATGTTAGTGTGTATATGTAATGTAACTTGAATGAACGAGTTAACACGTGAAACTGGTGTGACTGAGCAGTGTGTCACCTTCTAACTTAGGTGGCGTGTGTGTAAGTCCTTATTTGTTTGTGTGTGTGTGCGTCCTGAGTGACTATGCATGTATGAGTTAACGGCTGACGATAGTATGGGTGGAATGTATATGGTCCTCTGGTATGCGTGTAGGAGTGTTTATTTTTGTATGTATGTGTGTCTCTTGAATGACCGTATGTATTTGACTTAATGACTGATTTCAGTGTGTATGGAGTGTGTATGATCCTCTGATGTGTGTGGTGTATTTGTGTGACCTTATGCGTGTGTGGGTGTATGACCTTCGAGTGACTGCGAGGGTGCGAGTTAAGGTGTGTGTCTGTGTGTGTATATTGTGGGCTTGAATTCTGACTGAATGGTGTATGTTTGAGTCGTTATTTGTTTACTTTTTTCTTGGGTGTGTATTTATGTGTATGTGTGACTTAACGCACGGGATTGCGTGTGTGTGTTGCGTGGGAGTGTAAGGTGTTGTTAATGTATGTTTGAGTGTTTAATTATGTTTTTAATTGTTTGTGTGTATTAGTGTATGCGCTGGCAGCCTTAGACTTTTCCCTGTCTAAACAAACTAAAATTAAAAAACTTTGCCCTTAACGGCTAATAATAAAAAAAATAAACTTAACATTACTAACTATGGCCACTAGATCCCCTACCTGGGATTTACAAATTCTGACTTAACGTGGCCTCTTAAGAAACTTAAATAATATCATTTTTACCTTAACAGGTTAACATAAACAAGAAACTAATTCTTTTTAACGATTAAACATAAACATACACTTAAACATGACTCCTATGAGTTACCAAAAAAGATAAACGAAAACTTCGCCTTAACTGTCGTTCTTACTCTACAGACTGTTGTTGGCCGTCCTCCACAGCCTTAACCCTTTCTTCCTGCTGACCGTCCCCCAAGTCCTGGAGAAGCCGTTCCAATCCGTGGTCCGGGTGGTGATGGTTGTCCTCCGGCTGCCTCTGGGCCCCGGGTGACAAGGTTAGGTTAGGTTAGATGCCCGGGCGATTTCCCACCACCTTGTCGTGGTGCCCGGGCTTGGGAGCGGTGAGGTGAAGGGGCTATACTGGCGGGGACTCCTTGAGTCCCTGGCAGGGTCACCCATGCCAGGCAGGCCCTTCACTGTAACTCCCGTACTAAGAGTGGGAATAGAGAAAGGAAAACCTCGAATAAAAACCCGGAGTTCTTAGCTCCGTTAGTCCCCAAGGACGGGGGCAACTGGGATAGGGGAGAAAAAACCCTGACTTCAAATCCGGGGATGTCCGTCTCGTCAGCCACGATGCAACGGAATAGGGGAGTAAACCCTGATTTCAAATCCGGGCGTGCGGGTTCGTTACTTCACGTGGGGGAGCCGTACTAAGGGAAGGAAAACCCCGACAGAAAACCCGTGCAGGACGGGCTCGTAAGCTTTGGACGGCAACCGTCTTAGGTGACGGACACATTAAGTTAAAACCACCATGATAACCTCTATGGCATGGACACCAGCAATGGAAAAAACTTAGTGCGACAGGACGATTCGGAACGTCCAGTGGCCGGCGTAGGGGGGTTCTTGACTCCGCTCCCCCTATGTCGTTATCCAACGAGGGGCCGACCAAAGTGTTGCCAGCGGGTACTTCGAGTTACGTTGCCACCGCTGATGGCGGAGACCGCGCGCCTCCCGAAGAGAGAGCTACTCCTCTCGCAGTCATCAAGAGCCTAGAGCGCGTAAAGAATTGGGAACCCATATGCGAGATTGCTTCGCATACCACCGGTACCCATGATGATCACGAGTATATGACCACGCGCTCACGAAGCACGCTATTCAGCCCAATATCATCGGCTGAATCGACTGATTCAGCTCTGTCTGATATGGACGTCAAAGCTGACGAGGTGTCCGACCCACCTGCGAAGTCCACACGTTCAGCGTTCCTGAGGGCGCCCAAACTTGTGGTCCCTCCGCCCACGTCACCGGTACTTGGGACCGATAAGGCCAGCACTTCCCGTTCCCCGGCTACGAAGAAGGCTGTAGCCAAGAAAACCACGGCTAAAACAGCACGTAAGCGCAAGATGGCGCGCGCTATCTCCTTGACTACGTCAGAGGAAGATGACCTTCGGGCCTCATTGGTCTCTGCTGTCCCTCCGTCTGAGTACGTAGGAAAGGCCGACCAGCGTAAGGTGCGTGAGATCGTGCAGTCCATGCAGGACTACGACCAGCAGCCACCTAGCGCCGTGTACGCCGATCTTATGGAGTGGCTCAAAGAACTGGAGCAAATGCGCATAAAGTCAGCCAATTCCCTACAGGGCCGAAAAGACCTAACCTAATAAATTATTTAAAATATTGCGAAAAAAACGAGGAGTTTTTTTCGCAATATTTTAAAAATTAGTTAGGGGGGTATTCGGGGTCTTTCATATGTGAGATGCAAATCCTGCATCCCGTATGAATTTAAGAATTGAATTTTCAATTAAAAAAACTCACTTGTAAAAATTTACAAGTAATNCTTGTTATAGATGTATACACATATGTACGCACGTACAAGTTCCCGCTCAACATCCTGGGAATGGCTCGTATCGGCCTTATATTCTTAATTGAAATTTTCACGAGCCTTAAAATATTATTTACCACATCTTTATTTTGATCATGAGTTAACTTATTCTTTCCAACTTTTATGAATTTACTCTATTTATTCAAACTTCGAAACGCCAAAGAAATCTCCTTAGTTTTTTTAAAAAATCTTGAAAAAGAGTCAGATAAATCAAGCAGATAAGGAACAACAAAATATTTTGTAACAGTTTCAAGATCAGAATGACAAACAAATTTATTGTCAATGTTTGAATTTAATCTGTTATTAATTAAAAATTTAATTCTTTTCCTGATTATCTTAAATATAAAATGTAGAGGATAATTATTCATTAGAAGGACCTCAATCATAAATTTAAAATTATTCTGTTGGAAGCAAGGGTCAGATAATAGTATAATTCTATCAACCATGTTCAAAACTGTACCAATTTTTTGTGATTGTGGATGGGCCGAGTAAAAATTCAAATATCTACCTGAAAAAATATGTGATAATCAGACAGTGCAAAACGAATATGGTGGGTGCTGCATCATTTCCCAGCCAAAGCTCTGCAATTCTTTTTTCGTGATCAAAGCAGTACGTGGTCGAGCGTTGTCATGATGGAAAATCACACCTTTTCTATTCGACAATTCTGGCCGCTTCTCTTGCACTACCTTGTGCAATTTGTCGAGCTGAGCGCAGTATTTCTTCGAATCTATTGTTTGGCCCTGCGGGAGCAGCTCGAATCACAGCACTCTTTTATAGTCCAACCAAATACATAGAATTACTTTCTGTGGATGCAAAAACAAGGTTTTGCCACCGTTTGTGAAGACTTGCCCGGACCGCACCACGACTTCCGCCGCTGAATGTTGTCGTAGACAACCCATTTCTCGTCTCCAGTGATGATCCGTTTCAGAAATGGGTCTAGAGAGTTTTGTTTCAGGAGAGATTCACACACTAAAATCCGATCCATGATGTTCTTTTCGCTCAGTTCGTGCGGCACCCATACATCAAGCTTTTTCACCAAGCTTTTTTAATCGATCTATAACGGTTGTATGATGAATGCCGAAGCGCTTCGCAATCTCTCGAGTCGTTAAGTGTCGATCACTCTTCACTGTAGCCAAAAGTTGGTCGTCGTCAACAGAATTTGGCCGTCCAGAGCGTGGTGCATCTTGGAGGTTAAATTCTCCGGAACAGAAGCAAGCAAACCATTTATTGCATGTGTCTGCGCTTAAGGCCGAGGCACCATACATGGCGCATATTTCGCGCTTAGCGTCCGCCGCTTTATATCCTTTACAGAATAAAAACAGCAAAATATGGCAAAAATGCAATTTTTGATTTTCCATTTTAGTTGTATGCCGTACACGCAAAACACGTCCGACCAAAACAAACACTTCTACCAAATGTCAAGCGTAGTGTAACTTGTCAAAATATATGCGGCAGACTGACATTTGAACGACACGCGATAATTATTTTCTGACACTAGTGTCATCTATTAAAAACTCCGCAGAACTTTTCCACCGACCCAATATTATTTCGACTTACTACTTGCTGCAATTCTTCGGTGAACAGTCAAATTTTTGCTTCGACTAGGACTGCGATGTAGGCATGGTGGTTCGGTTCTTGACTCGGTTGTTTTTTACCACGACACTGCCACAACTTGTCACTGTCACACCAACTAGCGCACGGTTAATCTTTTAGAAAGAATTTGCGACGTACTATACAGCAGACTATTGAACTGAATGGAAAGAAGATGAAGCTGTCTTCGGCTCTGTGTTCCAACTTTTATACTCGGTTTTTCGGCCCCCAGACGCTTGGGTTTTACCAATCTAACTTGGATTCTGAATCTCTTCTCATTACTTAAATTAAATCGGACCTTGAGTTGCAGATCCGCACAAGCGAAAGCGCCAATCACCGGCGCCGACCAAATCGGCCTAACTATCTCTTGTTTAAAACTCGCTATCGGCTTCGCGCTATCGTGTTTAAATTTGCACGACTGACCACTAACTTGGTTTCGATTTCACCTTCTTTTCTGGAGATAAGAGGATCTTTGATTCCCACCTGCCCGATTTGAGTTACTCTCCTCGATTGCTGTGCAAAAATTTTTATCACTCTTTGTCTTACTGCGAGTTAGAAGTCAAATACGTTGGCTCGTGTTGGCAATACTCCGTGTGCAAACTGATTATAATTTGTTTATCGCCACTGGCCGGCTTTTCGTTCTCTATCCAGGAAGTTTCCATCTAAGATTACAGTTAGTTACGATCTTTAGAACCAGAATACCGTTCCCACGTTGCAAAAAAAGGGGACCGTGAAGTCTATGACGTAACAGAAAAATAAAGCCGATTTACATATTAAGGGACGATTTTCCGATTAAATATCAGGGCATTTTAGAGAATAATTTTATTAAAAAATACAATGCCAAACATGATTACAGAGCGGGAAAACTTTTGCTGAGGAAAAACGCGTTACGTTTATATCCGTATAAAAATATAGGGCTGCAACCTCAAAGTGAAACAATCGTGCGGGCTATTACTGATAGCAACTAAGTCGATATTGTACAGGCGGAAGAGACGCAACCGGAAGTTTTTATAGGAAGTTGTCTGGTGCAGCCGAACAAGAATTTTTACTCCTTGAGTATTAAACACCACAAAAAAACAGTAAGGATAAGCACTCCGCGCGTTACTCTAGAAGCGTTGGTAGAAGAAAGTGAAACGAGAAACAAAGTAGCGAGCGTAAGCATAAAAGCGGAGAAGTTAACGCGTCTCGAAAAAGTAAAAGAGACACTGCAAATGAAACATTTAAATGAAGAAAAGAGAAAGACATTATACGGGATATGTAAAGAATATCAAGACGTATTCCACCTTGCAGGAGAGCCAGTAACTAAAACAAGCGCAGTTAAGCATAGAATACCTGTGAAAACTGATACCGCTCCGATAAACGTTAAACCATATAAATTATCGCAGAAGCATTAGCAAGAGGTAAAGAAACAGATCGGGGAAATGCTAGAAAGCGAAATAATACGAGATAGTGACAGTCAGTGTAACGCTACTGGTTGTTCCGAAAAGGATGGACGCGTCCGGCGTGAGAAAATTAAGAATAGTAGTAAACTTCCGGCAATTAAATAAAGTAACAATAGGCGATTCTATCTCATTGCCAATTATTGCGGAAATATTAGACCAACTCGAAAATGCGAAATATTTCTCGACGTTGGATTTAGCATCAAATACCGATGGATGAAGACGACAGACGCAAAACGGCGTTTTCAACACCGCACGGCCACTACAATACAATAAAATGCCTTTTGGATTAAAAAATGCGGCGGTAACATTTCAAAGATTGATGAACTCAATCTTGATGGGATTACAAGGTATAAAATGTTTTGTGTATCTCGACAACATCGTGATACACGGTGCGAGCTTGCAAGAGCACAGCAAGCGGTTACGAGAAGTTCTTGACAGATTGCGAAAATACAACTTAAAGTTGCAGCCGGATAAGTGCGAATTTTTTTGCAAAGAAGTTACGTATATAGGACATGTGATAACCAAAAAGGAGATATCACCAGACTCGTCAAAAATATAAGCAGTCAGAAAATTTCCGGTTCCGTAAAAAGCAAAAGATGTCCACGCATTCATAGGTTTGGCAGGATACTATAGAAAGTTCATAGGCCAGTTCTCAAAGATAGCAAAGCCGTTAACGCAATTGTTGCAAAAAGAAATAGCGTTTGAGTGGGGTCCCGAGCAACAACAAGCATTTGAGAGTTTAAAAGAAAAGTTAATAAACGCACTGTTGCTTGCATATCCCGACTTTGATAAAGAGTTCGTTGTCACAACCGACGCGTCGGGTTACGCGGTCCCTGCGGTGCTATCGCAAGGTGGGGTAGATCGGGATCGGCTGGTCGCATACGTGAGCCGCGTGCTGAATAAAGCTGAGCGAAACTACAGCACTACGGAGAAGGAACTACTCGCGATAGTGTGGGCAGTAAAGCATGTCAGGTCTTATTTGTACGGGACAAAGTTTAAGATTGTCACCGATCACAAGGCGCTGATATGGCTTTTTAATGTAAAAGATCCCGGATCACGGCTCGTGCGGTGGCGTTTAAAGTTAGAAAAATACGACTTCGAGATCATGCACAAAAAGGGAAAGGCGAATACTAACGCAGACGCGCTGAGTAGAATCACCGCAGAAACATAAACGTACGAAGCGAAGAAGAGCGAGAAAGCAGAAGAAGAGAAGAGCGAGAGACAGGAACTCACCGAAGAAGAAAAGAGACAAATACTGTACGAGTATCATGATTCACTGGTGGGTGTACATCAAGAAGTAGCCCGTACAATAAAAAGAATAAAAATGAAGTACAATTGGTCTAAGCTAACGAGCAACATGGAGAATTACGTTGCAAAATGCGAATCTTGTCAAAAAAATAAATTGTTGCGGAAGGTAAAAGTACCGTTAATAATAACCGACACACCGAAAAAACCTTTCAAAAAGTGCGCGTTGGATATTGTCGGACCGTTGCCGACAATATCCAGTAACAAACAACGGAAATAAATATCTGCTGACCTTTCAGGACGGCCTCACGAAGTTTAGTAAGGCGATACCCGTTTGGAATCAGGAAGCCGCGACAATAGCAAAAAGAATTCGCGACGAAAATCGTGTGAGCACGAGATACCGGAAACGATTTTAACGGATAAAGAGATTAATTTTGTAAGCGAGTTGTTGAAAAACGTTTGCAAGTTACTCAGAATAAACAAAATTCAAACAACGGCTTATCATTCGGAAAGCAACGGAGCGTTAGAGCGGTCGCATAGAACGTTATACGAATATATACGTCATTACGTGAACGAAGACCAGACAGATGGGACGAGTGGGTGCCGTACACAATGTTCGCATACAATACGACGCCTCACACAGCAACGGGTTTTACATCTTTTGAGTTAGTATACGGAAGGTGCGCGGAACTACCGACTGCTTTAGCAAAACCACCGTCAACGCAATATAATCTGGGAAATTACGCGCAGGAATTGAAAAAGAGACTGCGAGTAGCAAATCGCGTGGCGCGAAAAAAGCTCAAGGAGGAAATAGAAAAAGCTAAACGCTATTATGACAGAAAAGCGAAGCAACCAGCGTTTAAGGCAGGAGATAAGGTTTTGCTCTACGACGAGACGCTAAGAAGAGGTCAAAGAAACTTAAATTGAAGTGGATAAACCCTTACGTAGCAGTAGCAAAAGTGTCAGGTGTCACATACACAATAAAAGCAAGGCGGCGCACGCAGAGTGTGCACGTCGGGTGATACTCTATTGACCACAGTACGATTCGACACCGCTCGATTCGACACAGATTTATTCGACACGAAATTATTCGACACCGTACGAT